AGTATAAGAGATACTCCTGCCCTTTTACAAAAAAGAACCAAAACTCCCTGCATTTTGAAAAAGACACTGCAGGAGCTCAAGAATATGAAAACCCCCGAAAGAACAAGAATAATCAGTAAAGAACAGGCTTCAACTTAAGGACTGAAGACATTTCTGTTGCTGATTAAACATCTTCAAGGATTTCTTGTACTGCTTCAACTCCCTTGCACATTCCCTCGGGTTACTTTGCCATTGAACCAACGAAAAAGCACAACCAGCCACCTTATTTCTTACCCAAAAGTGAGACTTAACTTGAATTAACTCCAACAATTGCTCCTTAATATCCTCCTCCCTCTGAAATATCAACACATTTCTCCTGTACCACAAATACCACGCAGTGACTAGAAAAATGTAGGCTCCCATCTCCTTTCCTACCAAACTTCCTATACCGTAGATGAACATCTCAGCCACGCCCTTGACTGTATCCGGCATCACCACCTCCATACCCCACCACTTAATTGTCTCAGCCCAAACTACCCAAGCTTCCCTGCACGTGCAGAATAGGTGATCGACCTCCTCCACCCCCTTCTTGCATAATCCACACATCATATTGTCCCCCTGTAAGTTTACCCCTCTTCTCTGTAAATTCCCTCTAGTTGGGAGCCTATCTAAACACAACCTCCACCCAAAAATGCTCACTTTAGAGGGCGCCAACCTGCACCAAATCAATTTACACAACTGGCTGTCCAACATGCATTCCACAGGAGCTAATAAATCATAAGCTTTCCTCACTATATACCTACCCTCTGACTCATATCTCCACTTCCAATTGTCACCTACAAATTTCCTAAGTTGAATATTACCCAATACCTTCCACAACTCCTTTTCCTCATCTTGCTCCCGACCCATCCTATTTCTTCGCCACTCTATTTCCCAACGCCAACTATCCCCTTCCCAACTCCCATACTCCTGAACCATACCCTCCTTGTTAGTTGCTAATTGATAAAGTCGGGGGAAAGAATCTCTTAAAGAATTATTCCCCACCCAGTTTTGCCTCCAAAAACCCACCCTACTTCCATCTCCTACCTCCCATTTAAACCCCTTCACCAGCATATTTTTTAAAATATTGGATTTCCCGCCTATGCTAAGGATGTCCCCCCAAATCTTTGACACTCGAATCTTCTCCACATCCGTAATATTAACCTCCTGCCCACCTCCGTAATATTTCTCTTTCACTACCCTTTTCCATAACCCCTCCTTTCCATCCCCTAGCCTATACCACCATTTTCCTAACAAAGCCCAATTTCTACGATGCAAATCAGAAACTCCTAGTCCTCCATTCACCTTTCTACCACAAATATCTTCCCATTTCACCCACGATATCCTCCTCTTCCCGTCGTTCCCCCCATTCCCACCACCCCACAAAAAAGCCCTTTGAATTTTAACCAATTGAGCATTCACAGAACTTGGCAACAAAAATAAAGACATAAAAAAAGTAGGGAGAGCAGAGAGTACCGACTGAATTAACGTGAGGCGACCGCCAAAGGACAGCAGGGCAGATTTCCAGGCGGCAAGCTTACCACCAAACTTTCTAACAATTGGCTCCCAAAACTTCTTGTTCCTTGGATTTTCACCAATTGGCATTCCCAAGTAAGAGAAAGGTTTCACCCCTTTACCACACCTTAAAACACCTACAGCTCCTTTTACCCAGCTCTCTTTCACATTAAGTCCATAGATACTGCTTTTGCTGTAGTTAATTCTCAATCCTGACATTATCTCAAACCATCTTAGAATAGCTTTGACCGTAAGAACATTCTCACTGGTAGCTCTTCCCAAAATAACCGTATCGTCAGCGAATTGCAACAATGAAACCTTCAGCCCCCTTTTACCAATCTCAATTCCCTGTAACAATCCTTCAGTCTCTGCTTTCTTAACCAGTCCATTTAGCCCCTCCATAATCATCAGAAATAGAAATGGAGACAAAGGGTCCCCTTGCCTCAACCCTTTCTCCAAATCAAACTCCTCCGTTGGGCTTCCATTTACTAGTACTGAACATCGTGCTGTTGAAAGGCACTCCTTAATCCACCCCCTCCATTTGGCTCCAAAGCCAAATCTATCCATCATCCAATCCAGATAAGACCAGTTCACACAATCGTAAGCTTTTTGGAAATCTGCCTTAAAAACAAAAGCTGATGTCTTCCTATTCCGAACCTCATCCACAACTTCGTTTAGAACCAGGACGCTGTCAACTAATTGTCTTCCCCCAACAAAAGCAGATTGTGTTTCACTGATGATTTCTGATACTACATTTTTAAGCCTATTAGCTAGCACCTTGGACAGTAATTTGTATATGCAGCCTATCAAACTAATAGGCCTAAAGTCTTTCAAATCCCTAGGATTCTGTTTTTTCGGGATTAATGAAATGAAAGAAGAATTCAGCCCCTTCACTAACTTAGAACTTCGATGAAATTCACAAAAAAATTCAACAATATCATCCTTGATACTATTCCAGAAAAATTTAAGGAAGTTAAAATTATACCCGTCAGGGCCCGGGGCTTTACTTCCATCACAGCTCTTCAATCCTTCTTCGATCTCCTCAACAGTAAAAGGTCTCTCAAGCCATTCTGTCTGCTCTTCAGAGATTTTCTTGAATTCAATATTTGAAGGCTTAGGCCGATCCCAAGATTCCTCTTGAAACATCTTGCGGAAATATGACATCACCTCTCTCTTAACCATAACTGGTTCCTCTACCCAGTGACCTTCACTTCTTATTCCCTGGATATTATTAAGTGCCTTTCTCCCATTTGCAACCTTGTGAAAATACTTGGTATTCTGGTCCCCCAATTTAACCCAATCATTTCTTGATTTTTGCTTCCACATAGCCTCTCTCATCCTCAACATGTCCCATAACTGCTGAAAGCCTTCTTTCCTTTGATTCACCTCGCTTCCCTCCAACTCCACTACTTCGTTTTTCAAGTCAATCCTTTCAACTTTTTCTGCGACCTTATTGAATTGTGTTTCCATGTTCCCAAACACCTCCTTATTCCAACCTTTTAGAAATTCTTTTAATCTCTTTAACTTCTGCAAGCATCTGAATCCAGCATACCCTTCCACCTTTAGTTCCTTCCATTTGTCCTCCACCGCCTTCCTAAATTGTGGATTTTGTTGCCATGCATCAAACACCCGAAAAGGCTTCGGTCCCCAATCTGCTGCTGATGTTTTGACCATAATTGGACAATGATCTGACACAGTCCTCTTCAAACCTTGCTGCACCCATTCCCTTCCCAAATTGTACATCTCATCCGACATCAAGACCCTGTCTAACCGACTCATAGATGATCCATCCGGCCTATACCATGTGAAGCGTCTATTGGCCAACTTTAAATCCACCAACCCAGCTGACACAATAAAATCATCGAAATCCTTCATTTCCTTTGTCTCCCCTGTTTTACCCTTCTTTTCATTTGTACTTCTAACCGCGTTAAAATCCCCAGCGATCAGCCATCGGCCTTCCTCCTCCAATATCATATGCCGAAGTTCTTCCCACATCTTGAGTTTCTTTTGTCTATCATTTGCCGCATAAATATTCACCAAGTTACACTTTACCTTCTGAGATCCCCGTATGCCCGAAATACCCACATACCCGTCCCCTGTAAATTCCTTTTGTTTCACAAATTCCACCCTATTCCAAACACACAGCAAACCTCCAGAAGCTCCTACCGATTCCTTCATTACCCATTCAAATTCATCCGAAAACCACATCGATCTACATAAATTCCCCTGCACCACCTCTAATTTTGTCTCCTGCAAAAATAATACATCCGGACGCTCAACTTTTACCATTTTTCCCACCTCCTTTCTCTTCAACACACTCCCTAATCCCCTCACATTAAATGATATTAATTTCATAAAAAAACCATAATATATACTCACACCCATCCTAACCGAAACACCAAATCCTTTCTATCCCCTCCCCTGCCCTTCGTCTCTCACCTCCAACTCCATTAATCTTGACTGAACTTCCTCCTCATTTTCACCCACTTCTATACCCAAGCGTTTGCCTAAATTAAAAATTCGTCTTACCTCCTGACTGTTCATCTCCCTGCGTATCACCTTGTTTCTGTGGGCTATGCACCCGTCCGACAAAGATGCACTCCCAGCCCGTTGATCCTGCACTTCCGCCTCGATCTGGACATTCTGTTGTTCTTCCTGGGTTCGGCAGTAACTCTGCATAATTCCGTCTGAGCGCCCTTGAGCCTTCCTTTCACTTTCTGCGATCTTCTCTTGCGGGTAGCATGCTTTGATTTCTTTCTTTTTTTTTTCTCTCGGATCCCTAATTCCCAAATTACCGTCATTTTCCAGCTCCCCCTCAATTATCCCCTGCACTTTGCCTACAATTCCTATTTTGGTCTTCGGCCCATTCCCCATTCCTCTTGTTTCCTGCACTTGCGAATTATTCACCTTCAGCCTATTCTCATCTTCTGGCCCATCTGTTGCAGCCCTTAACATGCCCTTTTGATTGTTGGGCCCATCCAGCTCCTTAACCTTCTCTCTCACAAACGCCCTACTCTCTGTTGTTCCATCTTGTTTTGAATTCAAATCTCCCTCTGCCTCTAGCCGTTCCCCATCAATCACCTCTACGTCATCTACATCATCACCTCGAATCTCGGAATAATTGAATTCGTGATCCTCATCACCCTGTTCCGATAAGGAGTTATCGGAATTCGTTTCTGCCTCTTCCCTCCGGTCATCCTCCGACAGCCACCAATCCGGGTCGGCCCTCCACTCTTCCTCCATCACTCTGATCTGATACAGCTTCTCCTCCACTTTTAACTTCACTGTCTTTACAATTTTGTTCCTTTCAGAGCTTAAAATCAACACTCTTCCATCACACAAAATCGACTTGGATTTTGTATCTTCATGCACCAATACTACCTCCCCTAATGAAGCTGCTATCTTCTCAAAGCATCTATCACTCCAGGCTTTTAATGGGACTCCAGATATACGCACCCAAACCATTCTACCATAATTTTGAGGTGCCTCATCCCATGGCTGTATATTCTCACACCAGAGCTCAAGATGCTCTTTGTTCTGTTGCACAAACTCCTTCAAATAGCCCGCCAATCTCTCCGTTAATAATACGTTTCTCCCTCCCAATGGTGATAAATTTATCAAGCCTCCATCCACATCTAGTCTCTCTTGAATAGTAGAGATCATAGACAAGGACTTAACCACTACTATCATGCTCCCCTGCAGCCATTGATTCTCCTCTTTCAATGGGAAGAATTCTATAATTTCCTCCCTATTGTACCCCTTGTTCGCAACTCCCTCCTTATCTCCGGATTTTTTCTCCTCAGGATTCACATCCTTCCTTTGGTTAACTGATATCCTGTCCGTAGCTACTGATTTCACCTTCTCCTCTGCTTGTTTATTCAGCTCCAGAGCTTTATCTTTCCTTGAAGATCCCGTAACAACCTGGACGTATGAAACTCCTGGTTGAACAAGTCGCTGCTCCCTGATCCCCACTTTCAAACTGGTATTTCTTCGATACCCAAACCCTCTCTGTACCCTGTCAGTCCCTGCCTTCTTTCCAGCATTCCTCTGATTTCCTAGCTCTCTTTGCCTCCTGACAGATGCCACTCTTGCCCTCAGCTTATAGGATCCGATCCATATCCTATTTAGTTTCTCTTCCAGTTGTTTAGCATCTTGTACTCCTACCATTCGGACAAATCCGAAACGTTTCCCCCATCTATCTCTCTTACTTGGGACAAACACATCAACCACCTTTCCACTGTTCTGAAACTGATACCACAGAGCCTTCGCATCCCAATCCTCTGGAAAATTGTATATGAAGAATGATTCTACCTGTCCCTGTGTTCTGTTCCTATAATCTCTACTCCTCCAGTTGTGTCCTTGCCGCCATCTGAATCTGCCGCCGTCCTGAGTCGCTGCACCCCACGCCATCACACAGCACTCTTAAAATTTGCCTCTTAAAACAGTAGTCTAAACTTAACAAATTCGTTTTCTCTTCATCCAATTCCCGGAGATACACAAAATTCATTATTTTTTACCCGTACATCAGTAGCCTGATTTAGGATACCATATACACAGATTGGTTCAGTGACATGCACTGCCAAAATCTGAAAAGCTCACTTTTATCCACCATTAATTTAAGAACGGATTATGATAGATTTACCCTCATTATTCACACACTTTGTTACACCCTTCAATTTCCGCCTTCAATTTCCGTTAATTACATTTTAACTCCGTTACCATCTTTCCTTTCTCCTACTTGTTGTTTATCGTCCTCACTAGCCAGATCCATCTTCCTCCTCATCCTCTTCATCCATTATCTTCTTCCTCCTTTTTTTTTTTTTTTCTCCTCTCTCTCCTCCATCATCCTCCTCCAAGAGAACCCTTGGGGTTCTTCAAGAGAACCCAGATATGGGTTCTCTTGAAAAGAACCCACAAAGAACCCACAAGAGGTCTGGTTATGGCCACACACTATATTATTAGGGCCACACAATCTTTAACATTTTTTTTTATAAATAATTAGTTATGGTATTTAAAAATATACCATGTGCAAATTGCCATATACCTACACTATTTCTTTTACTTACACTCATAATTTTGTAGGTATAGCTATTTGTATCTACAATTTACTTAGTTGTGTGTATATAATTTAAATATACCTATGTGTTTTAAAGAATTATAGGAATAATATGACTTTACCAACGAATATGACTTAATATAGGTATAAAAAAAAAAACATATACCTACGGTCAACATCAATTATAGGTATAGAAGCACCTATAGCTATAAATTTTCAAAAACCA